GACAATAACATATACATTTTCATGTGCGCTTTTGACCAATATACACATTTTTGCAAGCACATTTCCCTAAAATAATGCATATTTGTATGTTTTTTTAATGAATGTCTGCATTTTTATGCTCACTGTCACCTACATTTTTGTACGCATTGTTTAGAATGCAACTGTTCAATATGTCTGTCTTTCTCATTATACCACTTCCGCCCCAGACTTCCTAGGCCTTCACTCCACAAGGCAGATGCTGACCAAGAACCAAGCAACTTGCAGGACGCTACAGCCTTATGGCCTCCAGCGGCTCTTGTCTCTACCACCAAAGGTTGTTCTTGCATAGCAAATATTGCACAAGAAATTGAATCTCCTTTCCTTATAGAACTCTTCTTTCATGCTGCCACCACTTATGTCACGTTAAGCTCAGTCCTTAGCATGCTAATTTGGTAATGTAACCCTCTGATCATCATCAGATGCCCTGCTTTGTGTGCCTCCTCCATGAGAGGTCCAAAGGGTGGCAACATGGAGTGGCTCCCTGTTTGTGGAGTGTTCTCCCTAGGGAGGCCTGCCTGGTGCCTTCATTATTCCTGTTTAGTTGCCAGGCAAAAACGTAGCTCTTCAGCCAGGTCTTTGGCTGATTATCATTCTATGTCCTTTTAAATGTTTTTTTTTTTTTGGTGAGGGGTAATTGGTTTGTTTCGTTCTTGTTTTTATTATGTATTTTGTGTTTTTATGTTGTATTTGTATGCTGTGAACTGCCCTGGGATCTTCAGGTGAAGGGTGGTATAATAAAAAATAATAAGTGGAATCACAACAACAACAATTCTCTGGCCTCCCCAACTGAAATTGCCTGCATAGAAGATTCAGAGCAACTTGGCCCTCATGCCTCCTCCTTTGCTTCCAATTTGTCTCTGATTCCATACAGTGGTACCTCAGGTTACATACGCTTCAGGTTATAGACTCTGCTAACCTAGAAATATTACCTCGGGTTAAGAACTTTGCTTCAGGATAAGAACAGAAATTGTGCTCCAGCGGCGCAGCGGCAGTGGGAGGCCCCATTAGCTAAAGTGGTACTTCAGGTTAAGAACGGACCTCCGGAACAAATTAAGTACTTAACCCGCGGTACCACTGTAATTTGGTAATAGTGATCAGAACAAAGGATGAGGATGATATTCTAGCACCAGCCTTCTTCTTGGGATTAGTCACTCGTGAAAAGGTCCCTGCAGTGGTACAAAGAGCCCCTCAGAGCCAGTCGGATAACCTCCTTCTGCTTCCCCGCCCCACATTTCCCAGGAGACATTATTTTGATGGCATCGCCTGCTGTGCCTCCTCACATCTATGGCCTTGTGATTTCAACCTGCACCCAGAGAGGATTTGTACTCCAGGGGACCAAACAGCTGCAGCTGTCGCCCAAGCAAGCTCACGTGCTCGGTGTGCCAGCAAGCCAGGTAAGACTGTGATTGTGGGGCTCGTATCCTTGAGCCCTACTGAGGCCTGCACCCCTGTGTGAGGGGCGTGGGGGCCAGCTCTCAATACCTGGGGCCTTCTTGCCATGCCTATTCTCCTGCCCTCTCCAAGTGAGTGAAGTTTGAGAAGAACAAGGAGAAGGAGGAGGAGTTCCACCACCCACCCTCTTCTTAGCCTCGTTCTGGTGGGACAGTGCCAGTTGGGCCCAGAGGGAAAGACAAGACATATTTGAACTGCTGAACTAACTCTCACAGGAAGTAGTAGTGATGGCCACTAACTTGGATAGCTTTGAAAGAGGATTGGACAAAGGCTATCAAGGGCTGCGCTCCACAATGGCTATGCTCCTCCTCCATGGTTAGAGGCAGTAATGGAAATCAATTTCGTGGTGGGTGGGAGTGTTATTGTGCTTGGGTCCCGCTTGCAGTTTTCCCCACTGGGGCGTCCGTTGTCCACTGTGAGAACAGGATGCTCGACTAAATGGGCCATTGGCCAGATCCAGCAGGCTCTTCTTACGTTCTTATGGGCATTGGCAAGAGTTCTATTGCCTTTCAATATAGATGGCACTGACAGCTGTGGTCAGTGTGGTGTGAGAGCCAGTGTAGTGTGGTGTAGTGGTTAAAGTGTTGGTTTAATACCTGGGAGACTTTGTTCAAATCCTCACTCCGCCGGTGAAGCTCACCTTGGACTGGTGTCTGACTCTCAGTCTCACCAACCTCACAGGATTATTGTGGGAAGAAAGGTGGGGTGGGAAGGAATCATTTACATCATCTTGAACTCCTTGGAAGAAAGGTGAAATATAAAGAAGATGATGATAATTCAGCCATTCTACCATGCTCCTCCTCCATGCATCCTTTTTTCTTTGGTAATAGCACACAAATACAATACGTTCCCAGGAAATTGTTCCATAGGTGAGCGTTTGCATAATGAGAGGACGATTTCCATTATTTCCTATGGGAACATTTCTGATCCGTGATTTGTTCAATCTCCCACCTCCCTCCATGGTATCTTCCTGAAATGGCTGCAACCAAGCACCAAGGGAGAGACAAAGGGGAAAAAAATGATTTGTCTGATCTCTCACCTTCCCTCCCTCCATGGTTTCTGCCTGAAAATGGCTGCTGCTACCAGCAGAGCACAAACAAGCGAGGAAGTAGCTGCTTGCACATCTGAATCAGCCATTCGTGTAGCAATAGCGGGACCTGTGTATTGAGCATTGTGACAGCGGGATCTGTGTGTACATCCAATTTCCTAACATAGTTGCAAAAAGTGGGTTATTCCCTCTAAGGCAAGAATGAGGAACCTGTGGCAGCCCAGATCTTGGGGACTCCAAATCCCATCAGCTCCAGCCAGCATGGTCAGTGGTCAGGGATGATGGGAACTGGAGTCCAACAACATCCAGAGGGCCACGGGTTTGCCATCTCTGCTTTTAAGGCATGGGAAATAGTTTTCTTCCAGTTTTTTATTCTGTCCTTATTACAAAGCTCCCACAGTATATGCACTCTGTTGCACATGCAGGGTGTGGAAACACTGGCCGTGTAGCACACATGCGCTTCATGCATTGATGAATGAAAAGATAGGAACATGCTGCCTTATACAAAGCCCATTTCGCTCAGTACTGTCTACATTAACTGGTAGCAGCTTTCCAGGGTTTCAGGCCAGGATCTCTCTCAGCCCTACCTGGAGATGCCAGGAATCAAACCTGAAACCAGCTAAAGCCATTGCCTTCACAAAGGAACTAGTTTGGAAGGTTCTGCAGCCTCTTCTACTAGATTCAAACCCTTAATGGATACAGGATCATAGGGTCACAACTTTTAAGGCAGAGTTGGGAGACCTGTGGCTCTCCTGACATTGCCAAACTTCAGCTCCCATCAGCACCACCAAGCATGGGCTGCAGTCAAGGATGATGAGAATTCTAGTTCCAACAGCTGGAGGGCCACAAACTCTGCTTAAGGATCCACTTGGGATAGCAAGACGTCTTCTCAAACTGAAATCAGCCCCTGAAATTGGCACAAAAAGGACGTTGCTTTTCCAAGGAGATCCCATATTGTTGATGACAAGCTTGCAGACATTTAAAGTTTCCCGTGGGATGGAAAGGCAACAAGACAAACACTTGGGCACATAATACAACCTTGCATCATCAAGCGGCAGCTTCCTGACACACCGACGTAAATGCGATGATGAATCACCGCGCTGAATCATTGCCTGAACCACAAGAAACGTTTGAGGAGCTGTCTGGATGAAAATTCAAGGCTAATAAATGTCCTCAAGCCCATTGGTCTGGGAGACACAGGCCAACGGTGGAGCATCCTGCAAGTATTGAAAAGCCATAGGTGGTGGTGGTGGGGGAACTTGGTTGTCAGGGGCCCAGTGATTTCATGGATTTCCTATCTGGGGGAAAAGGCAGCATATTTAAGGGCATGAGAAGATCCCTGCTAGATCCGGCCCATGTTGCATCTAGTCCAGCATCCTGTTCTCGGATGGCCAACCAGATGCTTGTGGGTGTTGAGGCAGACTTTTTGATCTCCTGCGCCCATCTCTGTTTTTATTACACTGTGGTGGCTCGATTTTTTATAATGTTATTTTTAGAACATTACTGTATTTTATAATGGATTTCAAATCTTGTTAGCTGTTCTGAGTGATGTGTAAGAACTAGAAGAGTATATATCATCATATAAAGAAAGAGATACATCTTCTGGCGAAGAGCCATAGCTCAGTGATAGAGCATCTGCACACAGAAAGCTTAACGCGTCGGGGAAAAGTTTCTAGTTCTGGTGTGCAAGGGGGTCTTTTTTCTATGTGAGGAGATCTTGAGGGAATGTAGGGTGGGTTGTGGAAAACCAGCCACGCAGTCAGCTGCTTGCAGTCTGAAGTGGTACAACCCAAGAACAGCTTTTAACCGTTTTCGCAGACTAGGCCTAATATCATTGTGAAACCAGCACAGAGTCATGAGCATATTGTGGTATCGCAATGGCAGAGTCACCTCAACCTCTGCAATGATTGACTAATGTAGCAAGCCCTAAAATTAGCCCATTAATGATCAGTGTTCAATTTAAGTTTTCCGAAGATAATACATTAGTGGCGTATTTTGAGTCCATTTCCAGGAGGCTGCAGATCTGCTGAAATTTTTCTGTGTGTGGGAGGATTTTGCTCAGATGGCGAGTGCCCAGTGGAACATTCTGACACTCAGCACTTTTTCATAAATTGGTTGCCTTGCCATTTAGATCGAAAATTGCTGGCTTGTGTCATTTCAGGTAACTGTATTTTGTCCTAGAGAGGCTTCATATATACCAGAGAGGAGTTTCTTGGAGGATAAACTACCCAGCCAAACACGTGTGCATTGCCTGGCTTTGTTGCTGAGAAAGGAAAATGCCAGCCATCATGTCCCTGCGTTGCTCAAAGGTAAAGTAAAGCATGAACATGAGAGGTGGGAAAGTGTGGTCCCTCCAGTTGTCCTGCAGGCTTAGAGTACACACCAGAGATGCCTGATAATGGCAAGGAAAACAGAGAAAGGAGTGGAAATTGCCAATGCTCACTTATTCGTCCCATGTCCAGAATGGAAATCAATCCAGTGAATACAATCAGAATCTGCTGCTGTTGTTGCTTTCAGTCCACAAATGATACACAATTGATTACATCGTGCGCGCACTCAGTTTGCGTTGCCTTTCCTTTGGATTGAAATGAATGGGGTGGAGTAACATACATTCGTACCTTGGTTTTTGAACAGTTTAGTTCTCGAACGTTTTGGCTCCTGAACGCCGCAAACCTGGAAGTGACAGTTCCAGTTTGCGAACTATTTTTGGAAGCTGAACGTCCGACGGGGCTTCCGATCAGCTGCAGAAGCTCCCTGCAGCCAATCAGAAGCTGTGCTTTAGTTTCCGAATGTTTTGGAAGTCGAACGGACTTCTGGAATGGATTCCATTCGACTTCCAGGGTGTGACTGTAGTGACAAGTGGGTTAACAGTCAATCCTTCTTCATAGGGAACTCTGGGAATTGTAGTTCTGCGAGGGGTGTCTCCTTTACAACCTACAATTCCTAGATACTTTGGGGGAAGCAATGACTCTTTAAAGTGGTATGATACTGCTTTAAATGCACAGTGCAGATGGGACCTAGATTAGATCTGATCCAGCAGGTTTCTTCTTTGCCTTGCAGAAGGCAGTATTTATCCATTAGTGTATGTATGCACACATATGTATAATTTCATTTTTTAAAGAATCATGTATACAAACTCAGTAGTAACTCATAGGACTCATCCTTGGCCAAAAAGACATCATATTCAAACCAGCACTCTGATTGGCAGGTTGCTGAAACCCTGCCTCATAAAAGTAATGGCCAGGCCATCTTTTCCATCAGCCTCTGTGGTGTCTCACCAGCAGAAGATTGCTGTGGCTTCCAAATGTTTGTATGGCACAGTTAATATGACATTGACCGCAGATAACATGCACTTACTGTACTATGAAGTTTCTGGAATGGGCAATTGGAAATATGAGCCAGGAATATCATACATAATGACATTGCTATTAGATTGTACCATAAGCGGACTCAACCATCTCTTTCTTTATCATTTGTTTCTGTTTCATTTGTTTGTTTTAACCTAGGGCTTATGAGTGCACTGGCAGAGAAAGGTTTCTTGGAGGACATTCAAAGCAATTTGCACTCCCATGCTGAACCAGAACTCAGTCTGTGTTTTCATGCGGTTCCTTATACCGACAGTTTGCTGCAGGAACTGGGTGCGTCACAGCACATACATAATCTGTAAAGTATTAGGAATCTGAAGATGGAGCTAGTGGCGAAGAATCCATGGCTTCACATTATGTTTGAACCCAACCAGTGACCATGTTCACGCATAACAGCCCATCATAAACCAGGTTTTGTTGTTGGTTTAGCAACCTTAGTTGGTTTGGGCAAAATAAGCCTCACTCCAAGCCTTAGACATAACACTATGTGGTCTCCTTAGTGGTTGGTCCACCTGATCACAAAAAGAAAGAAGGCTGTGTGCACATTCACTTATAATCTCGGTTTCCTTTCAGGCTATGAATGTCAAGAGAAATTGCATTGTAATAAAAGCTAGCACTACTAGCCATGATGAAAACCTGACAAGGCTTTAGTAAATAGAAGTGGGTTTCCCCTGCCCCCTAAAATAATTCAGATTAGATGCTGAGTATATATGAGGAAGGCTATTCCATAGTTGGAATCAGGGGCATAGGAAGGGGGCTGCGGGCTGCCCCAGGTGTCATCCCTGAAGGGGTGACAAAATGGCACACTGCGGTGGGCAGCACTTACCACGGGGCCTGGCCTGCAGCACACCTGAGCCGCACGTCTCTCCTGGAAGTGACGCGGTGGCTTGGGGCCCTACGCTGCCCAAAACGGCAGTGTGGGGCTTGTGTCCACCAGGTGGACTCTGTGGGCAGCTCGCCATGGCGCCCCCATGTGTGGATTGCTGCGGTGCCCCCATGGGCGGCTCGCCCCGCCCCCACTGCACCAGGTGCCAGAGCAGCTAGCTACGCCCCTGGCTGGGATAGGTTAACCTTCAAAGATGGGAGCGCCTGGAGCAGACTCCCAAATGGAAACTGAAGCATATTTCTACAGCGACTTCTTTCTACAGCAGGTGTAGAAAGCATGGCCAGGGATGATGGGAGTTGTAGTGCAGCAACATCTGGGGGGCCAAATGTTTCCCCACATCTGTCCTGCAGCTGTAGGTTTCCTCTGCAGTAAAAAAGGTTTCCTCCCCCCCCCCCGACTTTTCTTTTGCAGGTGGCAATTTTAGTGTTGTGCCAGATCCCTCGAACATTCCCCTGGAGGTTTTGCACAGTCGGATGTATGCCTCTGAGCCTGAAATGGAACAAGTGGTCCTGTTGACCTTCACTGGAAAGGAAGCCATGAAAAGCACAGGCAGCGTCCTTCACCAAATCCTTGCACTAGGCTGCAGGAAGCAGCCTGCTCAGACTCCAGGTCATTCCCAGCTTAGAGCCTGTGTGATAGAGAACATAGCCTTGATGCAGAAACCCTATATGCACTGTGATTAGGAACAGGGCAGAAATTTCAATCAGTTCATTTTAAAGGTGAACCTATCTAATTTGCACTTTCCAAAAGCAATATGTGAACTAAAATACAGCCATTCTTTAGAAGTCACACTTCTTTGAATTTTGCAATGTAGTTGTCCGGCCAAGTAACGTGCACAAAAATGCACTGTATTCGGGGGAAATTGCTTTGCAAAAGTCTATATTTAGCCAAATTGGACGGGGAAAAGGTGTCCATTAGGAGAAATTCACAATACAGTGCTGGTGAATTTTCATGAGAAATTAAATAATAATAATTAGCAAAAAATGTGGAGTCAATGAAATTGATATATTTTCCCACCCTAATATTGATGTATGCATTGTGTTTTACACATAATTAGGGTAAACATCAAAATAGCCCTGCTGGACCAAACCAAAGACCTATCTAGCACAGCATCATGTTTCAGCCAATGGCAAGCCAGGCGTCTATAGAAATACAGGGCATGAGCACAGTAGCCCTGCTTTACTGTTCCCCAGTTGGCTTGCTTCTCACTGGATGAAGGATTCAAACTCAGATTGCAGATACTGCATATATTATGCATAAAAGTTGGTGAAACTGACATTAAAATGCATTCTATTTAGGGAAATTGCTTTGCAAAAATGTGTATATTTGGCAAAACTGCACACACATGCGAATTTTAGGAGAAATTCGCCCAGAAATCCTGATGAAGTTTCACGAACACATTTTTTAAAAAATTGCAAACTGATGTGCAAAGGTTGAGAACTGAAGTTAAGATTGGAAAGTCATACTGCTATTGCATACCAGGGGAGGGACTATTCTGCAAGGGGGCGAAACAGTAATTCATGCTGGCCATGTCTCTCTCGGCAGTGTTGGAAGACTTGGACCTGCCTTTTGAGCTTCTCACTCTGAAGTGGTTGCCTCACCTCACTCGGATACAGGCTAAGGAAACCACACCCTTCGAAGTGGGAGACAAACGCTGGCAAACAAGTATTGATTCGCTTATGAGCAGCCCTGCCCTCGTCTGTGTGCTGCGTAGGATTGGTGCCTTTGTGGTCCTTGCCGAAATCCTGAAAAGACTAACTCCGCACAACAGCAAAGTGAGCTCTGGCTGCTGCTCTCTTCTGAGAGTGATGTCATCAACCCCAGAGACGGCCTTCAGGCAGGCAGCGCTCTTCTTCACTGAGAAGGATTTTGTAGGCGGTGGGTAGAGTATTTTCATTCTTTCCCTTCACCAATGGAGCTGATCTGGACCATGGCTTGGCTGAAGCTTCTTTTGGTGTCAGAAAAACCCAATGGTACCCTTTCTGCTAATTAATGCAAGACACTCTGCTCTTACACTTCTCTGTTTCTAACCTGCCATTTGAGACGGTGACTTTGCATTGCCTAATTCTTTCTAAGCATTTGATAAACCAAGAGTCCTTTCCCACAGGCTTCATGGCAGGAAAAAGGATAGGGGCAAAAGTAGAATGAGTTGGCTCCACCTGCTGGTGGCCTCCTGCTTTACATCCTCTCTGTTCCAATGGCACTTGTTACCACTGTACCAAATTCTTTTTTGCCATCCTGCAGGAGACCTTTCTTTTAGAAGAACAAGCATCTCTCAGAGGTTTTTACATTTGTTGTTTGGATAGGCCTTTGGCTACTGTTCTCTTTGCCAAAAAGCCACTGTGGATGTTTTGTCTTTTTCTTCTTCCTCACAAAATGCCCATCTCCATCCTTTTCCAGATCCCAAACGTCGACCTGCCCTGAAGTACTTGCCACCTCCTCCACAGCACCCCCAGTCTGAAGGTAAGACTTGACCTTGCATCCACTTCTTCAACACATCACATAAATTTATTTTGGGAAGTTGCTACCAGGAAGTCATGGGTTCCAAGATCGCTGACTCCCCCCCCCCCCGGAAACAAGGTGGTCAGGCAGGGAGGCAGTTTTATGAAACCCTTTGCTCATCCCTGGAATCCCCACTTTCAAGCCCCAAAAAAGTTCTGAACAGAGATTTGCCTCAGCTCTGTCGGCAAGGTCTGCCACTGTACAACTCCATGACGAAAACCCTTCCTGGTGTTGCTCTTGTGCACTAAAGTCCTTTCACTTTTCTTACGCAGCAGGAGAGACTGACACAAGCCATGCAGAATTGCTCTTCCGCTCCATGCAAGTTGGTAAGGATGCCAAGGCTAAGTAGGCCCTGCTGCTTTCTTGGGGAAAGGTGGATCTGTCAAATTCTGTGCAAAGGGGGCCCCATCATTAAAAACACTGAACTTAAATGGACTTAAATAAGGCCAGAGGAGAGGCACCTTGCACGCTGTCTTGGAATGTCTTCCTTTGCCTGAATTTACTTCTTTGGAGAAGAGAATATACACCACGCTTGCCATCCTGGAATTTACTTCCTTGGCTGCTCTGCTTATTTGCAGACAAGCACACATCTCCAGTGCTTGGGTAAATAGGGCACTTTCTCACCAACCTCAGTCTGCCCTGAGCCAGCCACCATCTGCCTGCCTTCTTACTTGCAACCAGCCTTGGCCCTGACCCTGGCATTAATGCCCTCCTCATAAAACTCAGCGGAGGAGCAGGAGTTGATTCTCAGACCCTCCAAGTGTCCCTATTTTCCAGGGATGCCCCTGATTTAAAGAAGCTGTCCTTGTTTCTGATTTGCTCCCAGAATGTCCCGTTTTTCCTTTGGATGTCCCTATTTTCATTGGAGAAATGTTGGAGTGTATGGAATTATTTGACTCCCAAGCTGTCTGAAGGCAATCCTGTATAGGGAAGTTTTAGTAACGTTTAATGTTTTATAATGTTTTTATATCTGTTGGAAGCTGCCCAGAGTGGCTGGGGCAACCCAGTAAGATGTGGGGGTATAAATAGTAAAATTAGCATTATGGAATGGGACGTCCCTATTTTCATTGCATAAATGTTGGAGGGTATGAATTCTGTCTGTCATTGACTCTGGTTCCCCCTACGGTTGGGCTCCTGGCCTACTGTCCCACCAGCCCAAATGGGCACCAGCCACCAGTGCATGTCTCAGAATTAAAAATGGGTTTCTTATATGGGACAGCCTACTGATCAATAAAGATAAAGCATTGATCATTGTGGGGTTTTTGTTTTTAAGCCCTAAAATGCTAGTCAATATATTAATGGAGAAAAAGACAGAACTGGAGATTTGTCGCCAGCCAGAATTAGTCACGATGCAGCAAATTCAAGATTTCCAACCCTGTGTTTGCAACCTAAGATTAGTTTATTATGCTATGTTATATTGTTTCATTTATGACTCTATTCCTGCAAAGCAGCTGGAAGCGATTTCACAGTATCATAAAAACGTGTCTAAAACAATTGCATCTAGGAGAAGAGTTAAAACAATTACATCTATAAAAACAGTTTCAAATACAATACAGATTCTGAGCAGGGGTGATTTTCAGAGAAGCAGCAGGAGGCTGCTCCTTGCCCAGTTTCCTCCAGCTGGGCTCTGGGACTAGTAGGAAGCCTGGCTGAAGGAAAAACAGTCTGGGTAAGGGGTTGCAGGAAAGAAATGGCTGGCAGGGGGAACAATTATACACCCCATTTCTGTTGCAAATGCCCATCTGCTTTCATGCATTGGTATTAGGGAGCAGAGTTTCAGTTCCTATAGAATAATATAGCATAACATTGAGCAAAGAAACTTAGAGAAAAGCTTTTAAAAATAGTCTACTAGGAATGAGCAATCCCTCCACCTTGCAAAAAATAAATAAATCGCTGTCCTTTTTGCAAGCTGTTGATTTGCTGCACAATTGTAAACAAGAGCAAAGTGTTTGACCACTTAACCATAGCAGTGATCACACTTCTGCTGCTGCCTTTTTGAAAACCTGGGGTTTTTACCCATGAGATGCCACAGTGAGAGGAAAAGGCATTGCTCTCTTTGTGATTTTACTTTTGACATCCTCATCACACTGGCTGTGTTGAGTAATCATGAGGCCAGTGCAGAGTGAGGGCATGCTTTCCTCACTCTGCATTGATCAAAAGCCAAGCAGAGCTTAATGATCTCTGTTGCTGTTAATAAAAATATGCCCTTTTCCCTTATGAGGTATCCAAGAGCCCATATAGAGAGAGTCCTTACATAGGTTCCCTATTGGTAGGAGAAAATAACAGAGGCCAACCAGAGAATATTGAGAAGCAAAGCAGCTAGTAAGCTTGATCTTTATTGATCTGTTGCAACAGGGTGCTCCCCCCACACGCAGGAGAGGAGGAGGACCCACAAAAATGCTGTGGAAGGGCTTATAAAGACTTTTGAAATTCCCATCCTCTAGATCAAGACCACCCCCAGAAACATTATGCATACATCACAGAAGGGGTGTAACCTAAGACCACCCCTCAGATACATCCCAGAAAAGGCAGTCTAAAACAGAACATTTGCATGTTGTTTTTCTCCTGTCATGTTGTTTTTTCTCCTAGAGTGAGATGGGCGCACAACCCTAGAGTCTGTCAAGACTGGCCCGTATGGGCAGGGGTACCTTTTACCTTTCTCCTGTCACAGTTTATCTCCTGCCTGGCAAGTTACTTGATTGGATTTCCTGGGGAGCCTGGCCATTCTTTTGTAGTGGTAAAATACTTATTTCCTGGGCCAGGTCACAGGCTCACACCCTATTCATATCTTAAATGAGTCCTTAAGACAGGATTTGTGAGGAAAGAGACAATGGGGAGACTTTTCCAGTTTGACCTTGCAGAGAAAACATTTGGTCAGTTTAGGAATCAAAATGGTTCCAGGTTGGTCTTCCTGTGCTGACCTATGTATGTGCGGTTATGAACATTACCATATATCTAAGACCATAAAACTCCTATCACATTGCCAAACTATGGACAGGTGGCAAAACGTGATGAAGACGAGGGTGGGAGCTTTTGTGAAAACTCCTTTGGAAAAGCCCCCTTGTGATCTGGCAAAGTGTGCTGGCAAACTGCTACTTTAGCTCTAAATAAATCTTGTAAAGAATGGAGAAGATTGCTAAAAGCAATCCAAGACACTCAAGGGAAGGAAGTTACAAACCTCGAGGAGCAAGTTTAGAAGAGACACTGACAAATGACATCATTTTCCAGCACGGAGTATTCTCACTAGTCTGAATGAATGTTATGACTAGATCATATGCTGCCTACAAGAAATCTAAAAAATATATAAGTTTTTGAAGGCAATCGTGAAATATTAAATTCCACGTCTATCGAGGCATATGACTCACATTTGCTAGAAAGACTGTAAAGGCTTCCCCCAAAAAACATAGCAGGTTTTATTTTTAAAAAAGGTTGTGAATCAGTGTGAAGAGCCAGATTTGGAAAGAACTAAATCAGGGACGAGGACCCCCCCCCACATGCCTGTTGGAGTCTGCATTCCCTAGGGGTAATCTTTGGAGAGGCACGTGGTGTGGTGGGGGCAACGTTTTCTACGGTGGAAATTTCCATTCTGTGACCTGCTGCCACCCGCAGTCGGCACACAACTTGTTAGAATCAACACACTGGTTTACTGCCTCTCCCCCACCCCTGGGAGAGCTAGGCCATTGTTCTGCTGATTACAATGCTCCATAGTGCAATACCTTTACATCCTCCTTTTGTTGATCTTTTATACAGGAGCCCAAATCCTCTGCACTGTGCTGCTGCTCAAACCAGGCACATGGACCCGTAACCTAGCAAGGATCCTCCGGAAACTGGATCTAGAGAAATTCAGCCTGGTTGGAATGAAACACATAGACCTCACCCCAAAAGATGTCAGGGCACTCCTCTCATCTGAAGCTAAGCAGGTTTGTTGGAATAGAAGACCAAAGGGCATCAACCTAAGAGCAATACATCTGACTGGGCACTGTGAGAAAACCCAGGGTGCTGGGCTGGATGAGCCATTGGCATAACATAAGAAGAGCCTGGTGGGTCAGGCCAGTGGCCCATCTAGTCCAACCAGGTGCCCATGGGAAACTATAAGCAGGACCTGACTGCAATAATGTTCTCCCCTCCTGCAGTTTCTATCAACTGGCATTCAGAGGCATCAGCCATCAGGTTAGTAGCCATGGCTAGCCTTCTCCTCCATGAATTTGTCAAGAGTAGAGAGACTACAGAACACGAGAGGTGGATGAACTGGGCATAACTGACAGTTCTGTATGTCATTTACAATGCTAGTCTTTTCAGGTCTCAGACCTAGCTTTTAATATCAACCTACAGCATGGAACCTACTTTTCATTTTATTATTATTGCATTTTTCCTTCTCTCTCTCTCTTTGCCTCCATCTCCCTTTTGTGTTTGATTGTCTGCTTTCTTCTTCTTCCAATTTTCTTTGGGTGCTTCTAGACCGCTACTGTTTTTGGGATGCGTTTTGAGCTCAAAGGCAGTGAATTCAGGTCATTCAATTACAGCGAGCTCAGTGTCCTTGATGAACAAACTTGCTTCCCCAAAAGTCCGGACTTTTTGCAGTAAGAAAAGTGAGGAGGAAATGTATGGAAACTGCGGAATGACAATTATTTGATGTGGTGCTATGTAACCTCCATACAAGTAAATCAGAACGAACACTCAGCAAACAGCTGATTTTCTACAGCCTCCCTGTGCATGCCAATTGGGATGACTACTTGGTCAACAGGTCATCAGTGTGTTCTGCTCACTTGCTCTCCTCTTGAAAGCAACACAGCTTTTCTTCCTGAGAGTATGACTGCACTTAGATTGCCAGAGTTCCCAGAGTTGGCCCCAGGTTCTTGGGGTCTTTCAGGCAAGATGTTCTCAGATGACCCCCTTTAAAAGGTGAACCATCTCCTTTAAACTGCCTTTTCTAAAAGCCACTGGATAGCACTCCCACTGAGATGTTGAAGACTGTCCCAGTGGGGTGACACAATCTCCCAGTTCCCAGTAGGAGGGGCTGCCAGCTGTCCCACTGCAGCTGCACTTGCCTGAGATTTTCATGATCCAAGGGAATGCTTAGATCTTTGTGCGGAGCAGAAACAGGATCTCTCTGGTGCCTCATGTTAGGGCACCCCCCCCCCACCAGCCCATGGGCCTCAGAAGGAGCCCAGTCAACACCACACACTGACACTGAGTTTCATTTGCAGTCATTTGTCTTGTGATCTGCAGCAATCTGAGCCGATCATTATTCTTTTTCTATCTTCGTCATCAATATAGACATTCTGAGTCACTCCTCCTGGCCTTTGGACACCTGGTGCATAATCTAATGCATTGCTGTGGCTTTCTAATCATATTAACCATCGAAATACTTCTCTTTGCAGATCAATAGCAATGCTTAATTTTGAAAAGTCACCCTAAAGTTCTTATAAATCTGACTCACAGCTTTATAAACTGTAGATTTGCGTTGCAAAGGCCTACATCATAAGTGTATGGAGCTGTCTTACCCTTCTTCAGATCCTATTTTATTTCTTCATACATAGCAGCTCTTTCTCCCTTCTGCCTCTTAATATGTTGCAATTTCCTGCATTAACTCTGGGAAAGAAATAACATAGATAAAATATCAGTAAGGCACCTTACTCCAAAAATACAACAGGTTGTTTCCAACTAAATCCTACTGAGAGCAGACCCACTGAAATTAATGGACAAAGCCCCTTAACTTCAATGGGTCTACTCTGATTAAGACTAGCATGAGATACTACCCATTGCTGATATCTAGTAACTTTTAAAAAAGTTTATGGTAGAACTGGATGCTAAAAATATATATGATGATACTGGTGCCTAGGATTCTTAAATATAATTTTGAAATTATACTATAAGGTGAGTAAGAGGGGACATAATAGAGGTGTATTAATTATGTAAGGCGTGGAGAAAATGGGAAGAGAAAAGCTTTTCTCCTCTCTTAACGCTAGAATTCAGGGACATCCAAGGAAACTGAATGTTGGAAGATTTCGGAGAGACAAAAGTAAGTACTTCTTCACATAATTCCTATGGAACTTGCTCCCACAAGAGGCAGTGGAGGACATCAACTTGATGGCTTTAAAAGAGGATATTTAACAAATTCAAGGAGGATAAATCTAACCAATGACCATCAGCCACAATGGCTAAATGTGCTACCTCCACTCTTGAAGGCAGTATGCCTCACTTGAGAGCTACTGCTTTTGGGCTTCCCACAGACATCTGGTTGGAGACCTCATGTTCTAATACAAAGATTATTTTCAGGTTTACTGTTAGGCCACTTTGAGCACTTATGTAACATATGGTAAAAAAGTGACTCATGCAAGCTATCAATAAGTAGAATTTTTAAAATGGTTCGGTTTTCTTTATCATCAGCAATCGGCTATGAATCATGAGGAAGCAGGTTATCACAGTCATCCGACAGAGATCTTTTATATTCTTCATATAGCTCAGTGGTAGAGTATCTGCTTTGATCCCTAGCATCTCCAGCTAGGGCTGGGAATGTCCCCTGCCTGAAACCCTAGAGACCTACTGCCCATCAGTGCAAACAAATAATGATCCAAACAGGCCAATGGTCTGACTCAATACAGTGAAGGGCTGTATCCCAGTGGTAAACCACCTGCCTTGCAAGCTGAAAAATTGAGGTTGGATCACCAGCCTTCCCAGGTAGAACTGGGAGAGTCTGCCAGGCAGTGCAGACCCTGTTGAGCTAGAGAGACCAACAGTCTGATTCAGTATAAAGCAGCTTCGTAGGTTCCCTAGGTTGAGAACGAAACTTTCCAATGGGGAAAGGCTGTGGTTGTAGATTATTCAGAAGGTTCCAGGTTCAATCCCTCCCATTTCAACGTAGGGCTGAGATCGTCCCCTTTCTGAAATCCCGGAGAGCCACTGCCAGTCAGTGCAGACAGTATTGAGCTAGGTGTGCCAATAGTCTGACTTGATAGAAGGCAGCTTCCTATGTTTTGGGGAAAGGGCCACAGCTCAGCGGTAGAGCATCTGACTCAGCATAAGGCACCTTTGTATGTTCCTAGGCTATGAGAGAAGGTTGGGGTATACAAATCTTAATGTAATGTAATGCAATAAGCTGTGGCCCTCAAATTCGTTCAGCCTCCTAAGAATTGCAACATCTCTTCCTCAGTTTCTTTTTCGATATCATCACACTACCTAAAACATTTATGTATGTAAAGACTTTATGGCGTCGTTCACATTGGAGTATCTCCCCGCTCAAGCCAAGGCTCTTGCATCTTCTTAGGGAGTCTTTAATCTGTATGTATCTTTAATCTTTATGTACAGCTCTCTGTAAGTCCCAAACCACTAAATTAGAGATCTAGTTTTACAAGAATGTATGATGCTGATGCTGAATCATTTATGAAGCATTTGAGTTTCTCAAACTGATTGAAATCTTACGATTCATATTCTATAGAGGAAAAGCACTGCTTGCCCATGGGGCTGACTTGCTAAGAGCTGGGGACACTGGTGCGTCAGAAATGAGAGTTGAGCATTGGTTTCATCACAGGGGAAGAAATGCCTATGGGCAGAGTCAAGGGATAGAGAAAGTTGAGCAGAGCCAGGGGGTGTGGCTTGTCTAGATCTCAGAATTGGGGGACATCAGCTGTCATTGACATGATAGCACTGTTCAGTCCTGCTCAAGCCAAGAGTCAGAACAAGCCAGGGGTGTGGAAGGCTTATTGTTGCCTAAGCAGAGGTTACATCATACATTTAAAGTACTCTTACACCACTTCAACAGTCGTAGCTTATCCCAAATAAATAGTTTGCTAAGTGTGTAGGGAATTGTAACTGTGAGAAGTCTTCTAACAAGTCTCAGCACCCTTAACTACAATTCCCAGGGTTTTTTGGAGGGAAGCCATGACTGTTTAAGTGGTATAAGAGTGGATCGTGTGGATGTGGCCAGAATCCCTATCAGAATAGAATCTCTTCCTGTTGAAAAGAGCCACTCCTTTTACCCTCACAGCTCTCCCCGGCATCCCTGGTGGTTCATTACAGATTCACCTGCTACCTGGGCCTTTTCCCACTGAAGGTGCCAGAGACAGAAACTGGCACCTTCTTCATGCAACGCATGTGCTCTACCATTGAGCTATGGTCCTTCCCATGAAACATCTCCCAGGCCGCTAGACCCAAGTGGTGAGGAGCACCCTTAAACACAACGAGCCACACATTATGCAGGAACAGGCAGAGGTCTATGGGCTCCACATCCTGATCCTGGCCCTGGCAGCCCCTTGTTCTGGAGCCCCAGCCTCCTTTGTTCCAAGAATTGGCAGTGCAGAGGGCTACATGAGATCATAAGAGCCTGTAGCCGTCACTGCCTTTTGCAGAACTGAATTCCATCATTTAACTATGCACCGTGTGAAGGACAACTCTATTTTGTCTGCCCTGTGCTCATTGCAGCTGAGCAGGTAGACTGACCAGGTGGGAACTGACTCTAGGATGTAGAGGCAGCTCCCTTGTTCGCTCTTGACAAAGCAGGAAATTGTCAAAGCACATTGGTTCAAGCTTCTTGGCAGGCAGAGTATGACACTGGCTTGTGGGACTTGCCATTGGCTGGCTGTGCATGGAAGATGTGGCACCAGAAAGAAAGGGCATACCTTATTAAATCTGCCTGCTTTGCATGTTATGGCCAAGTTGCTGTGTGGGTCAGCAGCCCTGAGACAATGCAAGCTGAGGAGAACATGCCAGTATGGAAACAGAGTTTGCATCCTGCTCTTATCAGTAAAGTTGCATACACAGATACAGTGGTGCCTCGCAAGACGAAAAGAATCCGTTCCGCAATTCTCTTCGTCTAGCGGTTTTTTCGTCTTGCGAAGCAACCCCATTAGCGGCTAAGAAGATTAGCGCTATTAGCGGTTTAGCGGCTTAGCGGCTATTAAAGGATTAGCGGCTAAGCTGCTAAAAGGCTATTAGTGGCTTAGCGGCTTAGAAAAAGGGGGGGGAGCGGAAAAAAATGGCGAGACTTGCAAGACGTTTTCGTCTTGCGAAGCAAGCCCATAGGGAAATTCGTCTTGCGAAGCGCATCACAAATGGAAAACCCTTTCGTCTTGCGGGTTTTTCGTCTTGCGAGGCGTTCGTCTTGCGGGGCACCACTGTAGTAGGAGAAATTTGCACAAAATTCTGAAGAAGTTTCACGAGAAGCCTTTTTTCTCTCAAATAAATAAATAAAAATGCAAACAGATGTGGAAATTGCAAAGAACCGAATCTGAGATTGGAAAAAGGAAGACGTGAGAGAAACTGAAAATGACAGATTTGCCTATCCCATGACTCAACAACCCCCCCCCCTTATGTCTAACTGGGTATAAAATATTCTCCTTTTTCTAAACCTCCTTTCTTTCCTGTCACTTTCTGCCAAGGAACTGTGTGCTAGGCTTTATTGCATGTTTGCTTAGCTTAGGAGTCCCTATTTCTGTCCAGGATGCAAAGCTTCTATAAGCCACTCTTTTCTTTTCTTCCCAGGACCCTGCTGCCTTGGAGGCTCACTCCAGCTACCTCACTTCAGGTTCCTCCTTGGTCCTCTGCCTTCAGCGACAAAATGCAGTGAAGAAGCTCCTGGACTTGCTAGGGCCTGAAGACCCCAAGGAGGCTCAAGCAGCTAATCAGTTCTTTTGGAGAGCTCAGTACGGCCACAGCTTAATCCATAATGGGTTTTATGGTGAGCCTGTCTGTTTAGGATCGCTCAGAAGGTTCCCACTTCAAATAAGTAGTTTTTGATGGGAAGATTCTAGCTATTTAGATGTAAGAAGGAATTGGTTTCTCTTCCAACCTGTGTTTATCACATGCAGCGCTGTTTCCCTTCTGCTGCAGTTCAGCTTCTGACAAAACCCACATAATTTGTCTCACTGTCTGCTGTGGCAGAATTTTATACAATTAATTGTGTTATCATTATGTTATTTCACACACTTATATTTTAAGCGCAAAGGAAATGTAATTCAAATGGGAACAAGTAATCAACTGTGTGTCATTTGTGGACTAAAACAAACAGCAAATACCCACCATATTCACTAGATTCATTTCTGCTCCAGACGTGGGATACTTAAACAAACTTTGGCAAACTTCTGCTCCCGTTTTGGTGGGAATTCTCTGACATCCCTACTCCGAAGTAAGTCTCATTGAATTCATTGGGGCTTATTCCAGAGTAAGTATGCATAGGGTTTAGAAGCAAGTGTTGTCCAACATGGCTCCTGACACGGTGGGTGTCAGAGTGACGTGGTCTCATATTACAGGCACAGCTTAGAATCGTCTCCCTTTGGTAAACAGCATCCCCACCTCCCAAAAAGCAAGGTGGAAGCCTATTTCTGTGGAACAATTCTCTGGGCAGAGATGGCAAGACTCCTCCTCACCCAGATCTGTTGCTAAGGGACACACGGCCTCTGCAGAGTCCTGCTACTAAGGGTGACAGCTCCCATTTTCAGCTCCACAGAGCTTTCATTCAGGCACACCATTTCTGCCTAGAGCTGTGCTCTTCAGAGACAGAAGCTTGTGCATTGTCAGCCGTGGAAGTGGGTCAGATTAAAGGGTGGCTTTTCCTGCTCAGTCTCCATGTTCACAGAGAAGAAGTTGGAGAGAGGCAGTGTGGTATAGTAGCGAGGGTGCCTGGTTAGGATCTTGGGGACCAGGGTTCAAATTCCTCTCTAGCCATGGAGCACACAGGTTGACCTCGAGTCAGTCACTGTCTCTCGACCTAACTAGCCTCACAGGGTTGTTTCGGTAGATAAATTGGAGGAAGCAATGTACACCACCACCTTGAGCTCCAAAAGGAAGAGTGTTGCTGTAGTTAGTTGTTATATTTATAGCTTACCTTACCTCCAAGGAGCTCTCCCCGTAAGCCATGGCCCTTCACCATGATAATGATGGTGATTATACTATCCCTGCACATGGAAAGCTAGTACACCAGGGAGAAATTAGACTAGCCTTTCTCCCTGACATGCTAGCTTTCTGCAGGTAGGGAAATTCCCATGTGGAACAGTCCTCAAGTGAGCCATCTTCCCACCTGCATTTCAAAGTGCTGTTGCACCAGCAGGTGTAATATATACTTTCCCTGAATGTGTAGGGAAGCCTTCAGACCCTGGGGACATATAAAGAGGGTGTTGTTTGCCTTATCCCTACTGAGTTTCATTCCACTGTTACTGGCATGAAATATATATATATATCCAGGCCTTCCTATTTACACATGGAGAAAAAGAACTAAAGATAGTGTTATTATGTTGGACCGAGGCGCCAAAATGATTTCATTTCCTGATAACTCTGCCGCATTCAGCAGGCAGCCCCCCGCCAGGTATCTGCAGCAGCTTCGCTCGATGCCCTGCTCTGAGTTTCCCAACACTTTATTTCTTGGCTGCAAAGAGGAAGAAAATGGTGACATTGTGTTGGTGTGGAGAACAAGCCAAGTCACAATAGAGTGAAGTCAAAATAGCAAGGAGACAATGAAACTGTTCTCGGCGTAATAGGTTTAAATGTTTGCTGTTACAGTGTATAACAGCTGCCCTTTAAAGCAATTTCTCCAGGAATCTGTGTGCCATCAATCATCCCGTGAGAGGAGCAGGAACAGAGACAATGTTTAATTCATGGGCTGATAGAATCATCTCTTTGTATTTATCTCTCTTAGGCTCCACATCGTATTGGGTTGCTGTGCGGGATGTGGAGCTGTTCTTTCCAGAAGGGCTGTGTGGGGCTGGGCCCCCGTCTCTGGAGGGAAAGGAGGTAGGACCCTCCTCATTCCTGATGTTCATCCTTGACAGCTGGAGCTCTTGCCTGTCTGATTTCTCTTTTTTACCTCCTTTTGCATCTGTTATCTTTTCCATTCCCATGGCCTCATCCAAACACAGCTAACCAAAGGTTACCATCCGCTCCAAATAATAATAATAATAATATTTTTTATTTACACCCCGCTCTCCCAAGCCAAGACAGGTCGGCATCTAGCTTTTCCTCAAGGACCCTTTGACAGAGTGGCCGTGGGTGGCTCAAAGTCCCAGCACCCCACACCCCAAATGGCTGTGTTTCCCTCGTGGATTTTTTGAAAACCACAACATGAAATTCTGTGCCAATGGAAGCAGAGGGTGGGTTATCTGGATCAGTTGAGGAAATTGTAGGGGCCACAGAGATGTTTGCTGCTTCTCAGTCCTGGTTATTGGGAAGGAGAGATCTCAACCGATCCGGCAGCACTCGGCTTCTGACATTGCAGCAAAACATATTACCCATGTCCTTTTGAGGCTTAAGGACTAGGACCTTGGCTTATTTTGTAAACGGGTGCTGAAATCCTTGACCTACAGAGTTTCCCTCTCCATCGCTGCCCTCTACCAAACTGCAAGGTATTCTGTTCACGGGGTGTGATGCTGCCTTGTTTGGAAGTGGCCTTGATTCCAGTGTTGTTCTTGACAACTTTTAACTCTCTTCCCCTCCCCCCAACCTTTGCCAACCTGGTGCTCTCCACAACATCTGGATCGCACAAGGTTGGCAAAGCCTGAGTTACTGTCACGGATTCTGCAGGCAGGGAGTTTTCAGACAAACCTTCTTGGGCACTGTAGTGTGTGGATGTTTGTGTGTGTGTTGTAGGGCTGTGCCAACCTGCTCTGCCCCCGACGTTGAGGTGCATTCTGGGTGGCATGCAGCAACCACGTGAAGTGACCCTCTGTGTTTATAGATGTACACACAAAAGTGAGGGCCATAACTCAGTGGCAGAGTGTCTGCATTTCATGTAGGTTTGGGATTGATCCAAGGTTCAATCTCTGGCATTTCTAGGTAGGGGTGGGAATGAATCCAGTCTGGAATCCTGGAGACCCACTGCCATTCAGGGCAGAGGACACTGTGCTCGATGGACCAATGGTCTTCGTTAGCCTGAGGCAGCTCTGTACCCTTCCAGTCACGATGGTGGGACCCTGACTGGCCCAGGAACCCCCAGGATGTGGATAAGCTCTTATGCGTTTACAGCTCTAGACACCTGGCAGCCAAAATACCCAGTAATGCAGGCATGGCGAGGGCACGGCCAGACAACAGGAACCCACAACCCGCTTGTGTCTGTTCCACATCTTTCAACACAGGAGGCTGTTTGTGTGAACCTCCCTTAGATGCTTTCAGCAATGGGCCAAAGTCCCAGGAATCTACACTGTTAATTCACTGACCAAGAATGTGCCGTGTAGATTCCTTCTTTCTTTGCTGGAAGCCAACAGATTTCATAGCATGCACACACACAGATAATGGAGTATGAAATTTAGGTTGTGTACCAAGGCAACTGCTCAGACACCAGGAGGTATGGTGTAAAATTATCATTGCCCGTGGTTTACACAGTCATTACTCTCTCCCTCCACCGTCCCTGATCAAACAGTTTTTCAGGCTTCTCTAGTGCTTTGATCTGTATCTTTACTTGGAATAATAATAATAATGAAACAAAGTTAGTCCCAGAAGCATGGCCATTGGCCAGGGTTGATGTCTGGGTGCCTTTTGGGTTGGCTGTCATGAGTGCCTATTATCCTGCATTTGTATTGGTTCACATAGTTCTTCCTTTCAACACCTGGATTCGTTTTCCTGTCCCCCAACCCCCTCCCATTGTCTCTTAAAAATGTGATAGATGCGTATTACTCAGTGTGTGCCTGTGTAGCCTTAAAAAGGCAAACAGTGCAAGGTTGGCGTTAAGAGTGAAATCAACTTTTTATTATGTACTGCAGTAACAAAGAATATGGAATCCCAATATATATTGACAGGTGAACTTTATGGAGTGCTGGGCAGGTGCTTTGCCAGGCAGTGCAGGACCAAACCCCAAGGAAATCAGGGACAAAGAACCCTCTCATCACTCTTTTGCAGGCCAGCGGATAATGCATGGATTTCTAGCAGAGTTGTGGGCAAGCCGTTTTGACTCCTTCTACCAGCGTTTATCTGTCTCCCGGCAATGGTGGCTCATGTGATGCGCGTTGCTCTCTCTCTCTCCCATCTCCCCTGCAGATTTGCACTGCTGCGTCTGACCCCACAGCCTGCCTTGAGATCGACAAACAGCACAGGCTTGTGAAAAGGGAAGCGAGAAGGCAGCTCAATTTACTGGGCCCTGAGCAGCCACAGACTCTAGGTAAGGAAATGTACAATTCCCTCCTCATTATATGAGCCTAAAATGGCTATTGATTAATTGGGTAGCAAGACAAAAAAACAAAACAAAATAACAGAGGCAGCCTAGAGTTGGTATTGACATCTAGAGAATGAGAATTGCTGCTTAGAATGGGGGGGGGGTGTAGTTTAGGCCTTTAACTCATTGAATGCTGAGCCCATCAAGTACCAGGAGTTGGGAGTCCGTTAAAAAGTGTGGGGTCCCCCCACCCCTCTTTACTAAAAAATACATGGATGCTTGATGGATTCCTGATCACAGCATTCAGATAGTTAAAAAAAAATGTCTAAACTCCCCAGAGCAGCTCCTTGCATTTTGGCCTTACAATTGGTCACTTTTGGGTGATCGTGCAATGTGCCAATTTTCCCCAACTCTGTACTTTGTAGCTCCCAGGTTAGAGCTGTCTATCTCACTCTGCCCACCCGCCCCACCAATTATTTCCAGTTCAGAAATGTAGTATGGAGGTCACCCACTTTTTAAAGTCCATGGATCTGAGTGAGGCCCCATGAGCCCCAACAGAGAGTCTGAAGTGAAGAGACAGACAGACAGACAGAGACAGAGAGAATGCACACCACTTGGTGTAAAAGTCATACCCAGCAGAATAAACTATAGTGAGGAAGTGGGAGAGACATTCACTCTTCCAACTTCCAACTTCGGCTCTATGTACTTTTCGAGGGAGGAAGTTAACCACCCTCACTACCTCATGATCAAGGTGGCAGGGAGTGGGTGTGCGGGTGCTGGGAGGCTTAGTGCATGGCAGGGAAGACCTCAATGGCACCATGGTGCCCATGGGTGCTACTTTGAGAACCCCTATTGTAGCAGAACCGAGTGGCAGAGCTGTTCCTGGATTCACATTGGGCAGCAGGCAGAGGGGGCTGCACACTTGAATGCTTATCCATGGGAAATGGATGCCCCCATCACCCACCTCATATCCGTCATTTAGTTCTGCTGAACATGTAAGGAAATCTTTGCTCTCTCATTTGATTTCCTCACATAAATAATCCCTACTTTGCCCCGGCGCTGCCTCTTTTCCAGCTCTTGAGAATATGCAGTATATGGGATGGCAGCGGCATAGCAGCTGTCAGATCCTTTCCAGAACAGGATTGTTTGGGGGGAAAGTGGTGCTGTTTGCTGGTAAACAGGGTGCGTTTTTCTGCTCTGAATCAGACTTGGCCACTAGAGGGAGAGATTGCACACCCAAGAGCTCGATGTCCTTTGGATTTGGTTCAATCTCCTCTTCTGCAGATATATGAGCAGATGTAGCATTTAATGGAAATGTGGAACATTCCAAATTGAAAATTGAGTTAACTGAGTATTTGATTTTGGGAATATATATATATATATATATATATATATATATATATATATATATATGCGGGCATGCAGCTGGATAGATATCTCGGTCTTTCTCAGATACAATGGTAATTTGGACAAGAAAAATTGTTCATTTAGTACGTGAAAGGGTTTGAACGGCTGGAGCTCACCAAGAGATCAGTTAGATATTTGATAGTTCCCTTCCTTTCGCTTCCAGAGTGCTCTCAGCTTTCTGTGCTCTGCCAAGCCACCTGCCTGATCCTTCCAGAGACCTCCCTGTGGAAGGGGAGCCCCCCGCCCTACCTGGTCCTGCTGGAGCGACTGATTGGCCAAGGCTTCCTGGTGACGGGGGCACGGCTCACCACCATGGACGAACCGCGGGCCTGCTTCATCTCTGCAGTCCTGAGTGCGACCGACAGGGAGGCGCCTGTCATGGTAGGCCAACTCATAGGAAGGGCCCTGATACTGAGTCCGATCTTCGCTCCAGTCTTCGGTATTATCCACACAGACTGACAGCAAAACCCTGCCATTAGTATTGGACCACAGCTCCCATCATCTGTAACCTTGCTGGCTGGGGCTAGTGGGAACTGGAGAGCAGCTATATCCATGGGGATGCAGATCCTTTATAGAATGGGTCGGAAAACTAAGGTCTGCGGGCTGGATCAGGCCCAATTGCCTTCCAAATCCAGCCCACGGACAGTCTGGGAATCGCCACGTGGATCGCCAGCGCGCACGTTCTTTCACTCTCCCTCACACGGCAGTGGTGGCACCTCCTCCCTCCCTCCCTCCCTCCCTCCCTCCCTCCCTCCTCCTGGCTTCTCCCTGCCCAGCCTAGAGGAGGAAGGGGGCTGGGCTTTGTTGGTGCCAACCCCTCTCTGGAGCCCTTTTGCACACCGCTCATCGTCCCACTGCTGCCACTGCCAGCCCCTGCCGCTCGCAAGACACAGGAGCCGCAGTTGGTTGAGCGCCCCTCTCAAGTGGCCGCCTTTTAAAGCAGCCCCTTTCCGGAGCCCTTTTGCGTGCTGCTCATCGTCCCTCAGTCATTCCCCCCCCCCAAAAAAAATATAGTCTGGCCCCCCACAAGGTCTGAGGGACAGTGGACCGGCCCCCTGCTGGAAAAGTTTGAGGACCCCTGCCTTATAGCTAGTGTCCATCAGGGCAAATGGGGCTCTGCCCCACCAGATGCAGCCTGCCCCCTCTTACAACTGGTCCAGGAGGGTGGCTTTGCCTATCAGCTTCCTCCTCTTTGGCCTCTGTGTTGTCCTTGCAGATCTCAGCAGGGAGGATGGGGGCAAACATAGAATGAGTGGACTCTGCCTGCCATTGGCTCCGGTGCCACCTAATGTTAGGCTCCCTGCCTACTGCCATGCCACTTTCAGTGGATGCCAACCACGATGGCTCATACGTTCTCTAGAAGGCCAGGCAGGAGTCTTTTCCAGATCTACCTAGAACCTGCAGCTCCTCCCGCAAAGCTGCCCTCTTTCATCTAAGCAGCACTGCTTATTTATTTACAGCTTATTATACTGATGGGCCCATTTGGTTTCTTCAGGCAATAGTTAACTGGAGCCTCGACGGTCAGGTGAAATATACTCCTGAATATTAGTTACTGCCAAGGAGCAGAAATGGAAGAGGGCTCCTGCCCCATTTGTGGGCCTCACAAATGAGTTCTCCACTTTCCCACAGCAATTTGCAATCTTTTAAAATGATCCTTATGAAAATGTGCCAGCATTTTGTGTGCAAATTTCTCCCCAGAAACACAGTTTTGTATGTGGGTTTGACTGATATACACATTTTTGCATGTGTTTACCTTTTTGTGCACTTTTTCGTTAATATAAACTCTCTTTTTTTTGTACATACCGGTTGGAGAATTGCATTGCAAAATGCACAGATTTTGAAGGATAGCTGTGTTTTGTTGTTGTTGTTTTTATTTTGGAACATATGCTATTAATTCCCCAGGAATCCCTGCATCTCGAGTTATTATAGGTATTTAAGAAGTGCTAATAACAAAGTGTCCTAAAATGCATTGCTAACTGAAGGGGGCTGAATATTAAGAGACCACAATATATTTTTGCGGAGGGGAGGAGGGTGTCTCATTCCTCCAGTTAATACAGCCTCAAATGTTCCCTTCAGCCTTAGCATGGAAGTTATTTTTAAGAGCAGAATGTTTAATCAGCAGCAGCTGTTTTAAGGTACATCTGTGCAGGAGAGCAATTACATCGTTCACTGAGCAATTAGACTTGGTTTTGTAACCTGGGGACACCAGTAGGGCCTCCGCCACAAAGGTGGAAACCCAAAGGTGTGGGGAGGCAGGAGGAAGTCTTGCATTAACAGGGCAGCTCTAGTGGGAGACGGGGACGCAGGTGGCACTGTGGGTTAAACCACAGAGCCTAGGGCTTGCCAATCAGAAGGTTGGCGGTTCGAATCCCCGCAACGGGGTGAGCTCCCGTTGTTCGGTCCCTGCTCCTGCCAGCCTAGCAGTTCAAAAGCACGTCAAAGTGTAAGTAGATAAATAGGTACCGCTCCGGCGGGAAGGTAAATGGTGTTTCCGTGCGCTGCTCTGGTTCGCCAGAAGTGGCTTAGTCATGCTGGCCACATGACCCGGAAGCTGTACACCGGCTCCCTCGGCCAGTAAAGCGAGAAGAGCGCCTCAACCCCAGAGTCGGTCACGACTGACCTAATGGTCAGGGGTCCCTTTACCTTTACTAGTGGGAGACACATACCTCTTTCCCTTCTAAGGTGGAGTCTTGTCCACCGAAGGGGAGGAGCTGTCATGCTTCCAGCCGGAGCGATTGTATCTGAGCCAAAGGGAAGCTTTCCGGGATCTCCTCTCCTCTGGGCATTTGTCTGGCCAAACAGATCCTTGTAGGGGGTCATCAGTGGCACAGGTTTCCTGACATTGTGAAGTGTGGCAAGTGCAGATTTGCCATGCAGCAGGCTGGTCTTCTGGCACTGCTTCCCCCTTGATTTGAATGGAGGCTGGCGAGTGCCAATCCATCAAAAGGCAACACCCCTCCTGGTTAGAGATGGGGGCGGCAAATTGCTGCAGAAATCAGAGAAGTGAATTGAAGATTGAAAAAATAAGAAATGCCGAGAACCTGCACGAACCAATCCTTCCATCCGTACCTCTGGTGCACCACTGGGTGTTTGGGTGAGAAAAACGGGAAGCCCACTGGAAAACCATGTGTAAATAATGGGTGCCTTTTGGATGGAGTAGGCTGCATTACTGCCACCCAAGCACAGCCTGTGATGTCAGATGCCCGTTGGACTCCTGGCAAAGTGCTTTCACTGGATGCCTGTAGAAGGCGGCTCACATTCTTTTTTCTTTTTCAGTGCTCTCAGTTACTGAAGGGCACCTGCCTGATCATTGCAGCCCAGCGAGACAATGCAGTGGTTTGCTTTGATGCCCTCCTGAGCAGGTAAGCAAGAACATCACTGTCCTGTTAACTCACTCCCTCATCTCTTGTTTCTGGGCCTACCAGGCCAGAGGAAAGATCCAGCTAGTTGGCCCAGTATGCTGACTCCAACAGGGAGCAGACACATGCCCGGCAGAACTTCACAGTTTTTTTCAACCAGACTCTGTAGATGTGCCTTATAAAAGTGCCTTGTGTGATGTCCCTGCTTGTCATGGCTAGCGCCATTTTCAAAGTGCCCATTCTGGGAGGCAGGTGGTGAAAGCAGCTAGTCTCCACTAGGGAGGGAGAGCAATTCAATTCGCTTTGCATTTTAATGTGAATCTGCTTCTGTTGCACTTTCCCAAATATCTGCACACCAAAACGCAGCTAACCTTTAGAATTCATACTTCTTTGAGTTTTGTGATGCAGTTTTCCAGCCCCAAAATGTGCAAATGAGGGGAGAGTGTGCATAAAGATGCATAATTAGGGGGAATAACTTACAAAGATGCATTGTAGCCAGGAAAATTACATGCAAGCATTTGGGGGGGGGGGAAATGCTGGCTTATTTTTGTGAGGATTTTTGTCTTGGTAAACAAATTGCAGATTGCTGCAGAAATATAGCAAGCTGAACCTAATAATGGAAAAGTGAGTAATGGAGAAACACCATTCTGTCCATCGCTACTCCCAACTAGTATCCCTGCTTCATTTTCTTTGGCTGCGCATCCCCCTCCAGGAGCCCATTCTGCCCATCGCCCTGACCCTGCAGCTAATTCAGAAGTGCAGGGGCACTTCATGACAGTTTCATCCACCCTCCCTGACAGCCACACCCCCTTCTAAGATTATGCAATAATCTTATAATTATACAGTTATACAATAATAGTAATTAGGGATGCATTGCAATGATTAATGCAGATCTCCATGTGTTTCCTTTTGGCTAGGCCTATTTTTTTTCTGTGCATATATGTGGGCAAATTATTTGGACTGCTTGAGTTGTGTTTTCCCTGAGGTCCCATTGTACACAACAGAACATGCACACCGTTCTCCTTGTGTTTTCAGTGTCCCCTAAATGCTTAGGCTTTGGAGCATGCTGTGGCTAAAAAGCTGTACTAACTGAGTGACTTTTAGGATGCTAGAGACAGGGACTCTGCAGGGACCCTGCTGCAGAAATAGTCTTCAACCCCTTCATGCAACCCTGGGCTGCCCATTGTCTTCCTCGCCAGGCTCTCAGAGCCCCCAAAGAAGAAGCCCTAAATCCATTCCTCTCTCCCTCCCACTTCCTCCTTGCCACTAAAGCAGAGGTGGAGAATACTTTTCAACCTGAGGACTACATTGCCTCATGGGCAACCTTCACATGCCACCCCAATCTCCAAATGGTGTGAGATTCCAGGCGTGCTCACCAGGGTCTGTGTTTCCTTTTGGGCAGGGAGGCCCAGCAGAGACTGTGGTGTCTTTATGATATATGGTTTATTTATACATAGATACAACCTGAGCCTACATGGAGAGAGTGCAGGGCCTTCACATCCCAAGAGGGGCCTGTTCCTTCCATTGCAGCATCCTCAAACTCCAAGGGTCCTCAAACATCTTGTATGACCCATTCTGCAGCATAAAACAGCCCACCTCGAGCTCTAAGCTTGCAAAACTGACACTTTCCCCTTGTTCGCTTACTGCAGTCCTAAACTGAAACGACTGGTCTTTCGCCTTACTAACGGTCCCCCATTTGCGGCTGGCACAGCCTTTGCTTTGCTGATAGCCAATCTTGATGGGTCATGACTCTGTCTTCAATTCTTAATGGCTTATCTCCAGGCGATTCTCTGGTGGGGGGGGGCACACAAAATTTAGCCTGTATTTTTACACTGCTAAATTCAATGTCTGATACATTCTCCTAATACTCCAAGTATTGGCTAAATCCTAACAACTACTAAATCTAGGAAGTGCAGGTGCCTTGCACCACAAATTCTGGTACCCCAAACCTATAACAATTGGCTGCATCCCAGCCATGCAAAACCCAGAGGCTTCTGCACACACCACTTGCCATCCAGGCAAGCGAGCAGCATGATCACAATTCAAAGGTACATTCCAGTCACTCAGGGAGGGTGTGGAGCAGGGCTGGTGAGGGGAGAAGCCTGGGAAGAAGGGGTGGGCTGCGGAGAGGAGCTGTGATGCTCCTCCCCAGTCCTTCTTCGCATCCTCTTCGCATGTGGTCCCCAGAAGGTTGGTGTTATGTACTGAGTTGAATAGGATCCAAAAGGCAGCAGTCTGATTGGTCCTAGAACAATAGGATTCAGAATGCAGCAGTCTGATTGGTCCTGGAACAATAGGATTCAGAATGCAGCAGTCTGATTGGTCCTAGAACAATAGGGTCCAGAATGCAGCAGTCTGATTGGTCCACAGGAGCCATCCCATCCATCTCCAGGTGGAAGTGAATCCGCAACTTGATTGGCCTACAGGTGAATCCCGGAATTAGCCAATCACATGGGGTCCATTATGTAATAATGTAAATAAAGCAGACATTCTGGGGGAACTGCCATTCCTCCTCACCACTATGAGCTGAATAAAGAGCCTGAAATCCACCCTCGACTCTGAGTATATTTCAGCTGACCAGATGGGAATGTGGTCCCCAAGCTGAAAAACATCCTCCACCCACCACTCCTGGCCTAACAGACTCTCAGGTGAAGCACAGGCAACCTCACGGCTATGTTTTCTGATGGGAACTTGGAGGTCCACCCCACCATCACCTTTGACACAGTCCTCCCTAAGCCAGTCCTCCCTAAGCACAGAGAACATGAGTTGCCCTTTCCATGCCACTTCTCTTATTCATAGAATCGTAGAATTGCAGCATTGGAAGGGACCCTGAGGATCACCTAGTCCAACCCCCCCGCAATGCAGGACTATGCAGATTTATCTTAAGCTGTTCTCTCTCCTCTCCCTCCCTCCCTCCCTCTCCCTCCCCCCCATCTTTTCAACTGCAGTGCCAAGGAAGGCACACACCCCATTATTTATTGGGCCACTTGGTGTGTGCATGCTATCCAAAGGCTCTTGGTTTTGGAGGCTGTACATTGAGAGAGGAGGCAGAGCCCAGTGGCTAAGGGAAAGCTCTTCTCAAGGTCAGAGAAAGAGAGATGGAGAAAGAAGTGAGATAGGAGGCTTCCTGCGCTGGTCGCATAGCTACAGGGAGCTCAGCGAAAGGGAAGTCTCTCTTTGAGAATCAGCCGGCTGAATCAATAAGCTTCCCTGGAGAAAATCACCACATTCAGCATTTGCAGGGGGGGGGGGGAGAGAACAACGCAAGTCTACATCAAAAGGCAGCAAGAAGAGATGTGCTGCAGGAGATCTGTGATCGATCAGATCTGCTGGATTTCTTTTTGTCTACTCAAAATCAAATTGGGGTGTGTGTGTGTGTGTGTGTGTGTGTGTGAATTTGATCAAAGCAAAGGTACTGACAGCAGGAGAGAGGGTGTTCAGTTCTCTCACATACATTTTTCCTGACCTACATCCCCCCCCCCCCGAAGCTGGTATTCTCCCCATTGGGAACAAATATAGTCACAATATTAGCAGGGGCTAATAGTAGCTGAGGAGGAGCTCTGCATTAACTTCATTTATATCCTGTCTTTCCTCCAAAGGAGCTCAAGACTCTCCCTCTCCCCTCCATTTTATCCCCTGTGAGGTGATACTGGCTGATAGACAGTGACTAACCCAAGGAGCTCTGTGGTTCAGAGATTTGAACCTGGGTCTCCCTTGCCTTAGTCCTTCAGTCTAGCTATGTTATGAAAGAGAGTTGGGCCCCTTCCTGCTGATCCACAGAAATTTAGGGTCTCTCTACGTGTTCTTTTTTATTGTGCATTCATGTTGATTTGTGCTCACGGTGCTATTGGGGCAGTTAGTCATTCTATCCTGCCAGGATATAGCATGTTAAAAGAGACTCTGTTGCTTTTGCTAAAAAGGAAGAGAGAGAGAATAAATATAGCTAACTCTCTGGAACAGGCTAATATTCACTAACACAACAGTGTATGGGGAGACAGGCAGGTAACTGGGTTGTTGTCCTCCCAACCCGGTGGGTCTAATAACCTTTTCTGGACTTTATTTGTGAGATTGGTTTGGCAGGGATGTGCAGATAGACACCTCTTTGTCCTGGACCAGTCAGAGTCATTTAACACATGCAGCCTTTTGACAGGAAGCAGGATCCTTCCTCAAGCGCTGCTTGTGGACACAAACGCACACTGTTTATAATTAATTTGCAAATTGACTCTGCTTTTCATGTTGTGCTTGTTTATGTATTCATTAACAATATTTACATGCTGCCCAACAGCAAAGATCTCTGGAGAATTTACAAAAGCAATAAAAGTCCTCTCCAAACACTCATCCCTGTGTGTGTGTGTGTGTGTGTGTGTGTGTGTGTGTGTGTGTTGTCATCTGCAAATCCCCATCACCCAACTCAGGAAGAGCCTATGTGAGTGCTTTTTCAGAGTTTTGGGACTCCAGCACCTGTGATCATTGGCAGTTTTGGCTGGGGTTGATGGGAAGAGTTCACAGATCTAAGTCACTGATGGCAAAGAGTACTGGGCCCAGGACAGAGGCCTGTGACACCCCCTTAACTCCTCCTTCTGGTTTGATGAGGAGACATTGAGGAGCAAAAACAGTTGAATGCACCTTTGTCTCTTGGGATGTAGGTAGTCTTTGACAGCAGACACACAGAGACATCCATGGAGATGTGGGAGAAATCTGACTCAGTTCACATTTAAAGGCAAACTTGTCCAGTTCCCCCATATGCCCCCAATCTGCAGAACTGGCATTGCTACAGGTGCATTTGTAAGAAATTGATATTTTAGCATGGCAGCACCTGCACTTTGGAACTCCTTGCCTCTTGATATCAAGCAGGTGCCTTCACTGTATTCTTTCTGGCACCAGCTGAAAACAAGTTTCTTTAGGCAAGCCTATGCAGGCAGGTAGAACGTTGATGTGTGTTTTAATCTAGTTTTCAGCTTATTGTTGATTTAAATTTTTTAAAAATACCATATTTTTCCATGTATAAGACTAGGTTTAACCAAAAAATAGGTTTAAAATTGGGGCTCATCTTATACATGGGTAGTGCTGAGGTGTGTTTTCTTAATTTGGGGTCCCCAAAAATAGGGGCGTCTTATACACGGAAAAATACGGTAGATCCTTTCAATTGGTTTTTATTAATTTTATTGTTTTGTTCTTTTTGTAAACAGCCTTGAGGTTCCATTACAATCAAGCTGCATATAAATCTTATGAACCAATTGCAAGGCAGTACTCTAGACACGCACTGTGTACAAAAATGCATTGCCTGGGTAAAGTGTGCATTTAATGTGCACACAAACTGCCATGTACTCCTACATGTTGGTAACTGTGTGGGGGTGTTCATCAGTGGGTATGGTGCAGTATTGGCCTTTTGATATTTTTTTTAAAAGGCTCTGGTAAAGGTGTGTGAGGGGGAGAGAATAGTAGGACCATCACTGGGGGGAGGGACAGTGGAGGCCATTTGTCCCAACTTAAGTTACATGGAATGATACACAGTGCAGACCATGGACATAATGCAGACTGGACAAGCCACATCCGTTTGTAAATGCTCAACCATAAGCCTATTTCTATCCTGTATTAACCTGTAAGCCAACGATTATGCTGTAGCCAACTGAGTTTTACTCAGAGCAGACCCATTGAAATTGTTGACCCTAAGAGAGCCATGTCCCTTAATTTGAACGGATCTACTCTATATAGGATTAACGTTGGCTGAAGCCCTAAATTCACACAATTTTTAAAATTTAAATCCACATTGTTCAATATAGATATTTCTAAATATCAGTTTCCCTAAAATACTCATTTTTAAACATATGTTTGTATATCTGTTGAGCAGAGAACTGTATCACAGAATTCGAAGAAGTGTGGTATTGGGTGGATTGTTATATTCGGGTTGGCACATTAGCCCAGGAGGTGCAAATCAGGTTGGTTCCCATTGGAATTCACAGGAATCTAATTCCTCAAATATCCCTAGACACACCTGGGGAATGTAATCTGTGGGGATTTTTTTACAGTACATTGATATCCCATCCAAGGAGCTCAAAGTGCTGGACATAGTTCTTCTTCCCCCTGTTGTTTCCTCACAACAACCTTGTGAGGTTGGTTCATTTGAAAGCCAGTGACTGGTCCAAGCCCAGTGAGCTTCATGGCTGAGTGGGGATTTGAACCCTGGTCTCCCAGGCCCTAGTCCAAGACTCTAACCGCTCCACCACACTGTTTCTCAGAAGTTGCTGAACTCCAGATCCCATCAGCCACAGCCACCAAGGCCAATAGTCAGGCATGCTGGGAGTTGTAGTTCAACAGCTATACACTGTCATCAGGGTGTTAGTTTGCTCCTTAACAGCAGTCTGTCTCCCACCCTTTGCAGGTTGCATAGATTAACTCTCAACTCTTGTATTTTCTTTGGGATTAGGGGTTAATGGGCAAATCAATCTTAAATAACAGTAATGCTGCATAGGCTAGAACAATTGCTTTCCTACCTACAAGCATCATTCAGATTATGGTCAGGAGATGGAAACTGAAAACCAGAGGTCTCTCTCAGCTGCAAGGGTCTTTGGAAGTCTGCCGGTCCAAAGAAAATAAAATCTATGATGCTTAAAATGGCTGCGATTCAGTTATTATTTCACTTCTATCCTGCCTGTGGGTTTTATTAAATTAAGTTTTACTCAGAGTTGATCCACTCAAATGAATGAACCTAAGTTAGCCACGTCCATCAATTTCAATGGGTCTACTCTGAGTAGGACTAGCAGTGGCTACACCTGTTTTGCCTTTTACCCCATGGAGTTTCAGCTGCCATAAATGGGATACGCAAAGGGTCTCCCATCCAGACAGTGACCAGGCTCAGACCTGGTTAGCTTCATCCTGGTGGCTGCAACCTCTGCTTCCAGGCTGGGGTTTCCAGAGCTATTAAATTCCCATAAGCACCTCTCTCCCCCCCCCCGCCCCCTCCTCTCCTACATTTCTAGAGAGCGTCTTACATAACAGGTCATTACTGTGTATATTGAAGGATTATATTTTTAAATTCTCAAATCCATTTAGGCAAAGCTTTGTTGAACCCTGGATTTAAAGGGCTTACGCGGTTCAGCAGCAGACACAGGCAGGCCGACCCATAAAGCCCCCTCCCCAGAACTAGGCAGTTTCTAGGCGTTGACAGATTCTGCTGCAATGTGTTAACAGTTGCTCTCCCCCCTTGGTCTTCCTTCTCTCCTCAATGCCCCTCCCCCCGCCTCCCAGTGATCACTGTCAGAAACAAGCTGTGTCAGAGTGCATGAAACAACTTCTGTATCCAAAGACCGAAAAACAGGCAAGTGCAACTCTCCTCTTGCTTATCTATCTATACCCCTGATTTGACACCCCACTCCTTTTTCTCCCCTTCCTGTTACCATTACGTGCACCCCAATCTCTGAGCAGCGAGAGACTCCAGCGATGCCCGTGCCTCCCCAGGGCTCAGTTTCCTTGGAATGAAGGTCAATGGAGACTGTGGTGTCCCTAGGATACAGGGTTTTATTTAGACATATAGGCAACATGTGCATAAGATAGGGGCGGGGATCTTGCCTTGCCAAGAGATTCCCAGGAAGATCCTGTAGCTGCAGCTTTGAGTCCAGTGCAAAACAAGCCTCTGCGTCTGCAACCTCCAGCATCAGCCAAAACACTCTCTCTCTCTCTCTCTCTCTCACACACACACACACACACACACACAGCCCCCCTTAGCTTCTTGTTCTCCCTTCTAGGTTGATGTGGCATCCAGCCAGACGAGGTGAAGAAAGGACTACCCTTTTGTCTCTATGGCAACAGGGAAACCTCTTTGGATATGTAAATGGAAGTACAGTGGTACCTTGGGTTACAGACGCTTCAGGTTACAGACTCCGCTAACCTAGAAATAGTACCTCGGGTTAAGAACTTTGCTTCAGGATGAGAACAGAAATCGTGCTCTGGCAGCGCGGCAGCAGCAGGAGGCCCCATTAGCTAAAGTGGTGCTTCAGGTTAAGAACAGTGTCAGGTTAAGAACGGACCTCCAGAACGAATTAAGTGCTTAACCCGAGGTACCACTGTACTTAACTGGCCAGTTCAGGCCGTTATCTTACAAAGAAACTGGTCTGACTGGTTCAGCAGATAGGTTTGGAAGGGACTCATACAGATGGACACATACCCTGGTTCCATAACAGCTACTGCTGCTACTACTACTACTACTACTACTACTACTACTACTACTACTACTACTTCGAATGGGGTTGCCAACTTCTTTTTACTTTTCTGGCTCCTGTGTCTTGGGCTGCAGCTTAGCGCACACAAATTATGCACTCTGAGGCTTTTCCCTTTGCTCATCTCCCTTCAAAGAAAAGCCTCACTTACTAAATCTCCATGTACCAGGCTGCTTTTAAGGGCAGAGGAGTAGGGTTGTTGTTTTTAAGAAAAAGGTTGGCAACCCTACAATCACTACCATTGTTAGAATTGCTACTAGATATTTACCCCATACCAGCATTCTGAGAAGGCTTAAACACAGAACTGCTCAGACAGTCACTGAAGCCACACCCACATTACATATTTAAAGCAGATAGCTTCCTCCAAAGAATCTTGGGAACCGTAGTTTGCTAAGAGTGCTGGGAATTGTAGCTCTGATGGGGATGAGGTCCAGTTCTGAGCTGCCTCTGGGGGAATCAGTGTGCTTTAAATATATGGCGTAGCTGTGACCACACACAATGCACAGCCTGAAGTGCTCCTATGCTCACTGCTGGGGCAGATATTAGCCAAAGCAGATATTAGCAGAGGATATTAGCAGAGGATAATGTGAGGATGGCTCCAGCTGTGTCCTTTAGCATCCCCATCACTCCCCCATTATATCTATATATGTAGGAACTCGTACATCCACATTGTTTGGCCACTAAAAGGACCAAAGTCTGTCCCTCTTCCCATCCTACCTGCTTCCCCGTAAATGGCTGCATCTCCTTAAATCACAGCACACTTTCCCTGGGAACGAACTGGCAGAAGAACCTGCCTCCAAATATTGCCCCTAGAAAGAAAGCCCACTGGATCATCTTCCGGCCGCATCAGAATGAATTTGTGAAATGCCAGCCAAGACCCTTGAGTCGGGGCTTAGTGCAATATATTAGGCATATCAACAGGGTTAAATAGCAGGATTTGAGATCTTAAATCCTTGTAGATAGAAATGGCTCCTGGGGGCACAGCTGCAGTGCTCTGCAGAGATCAATCCCAGGAAGCTTTTCATATTTTTTAAGAGTGCTGCACATTTTGCTTTCAGTGGACCACAGCCTGACTCGCCGGTTGCTTCCAGTGGTCAGCTGGTTGTAAATCAGTTTGCACCTCCCAGCCGGGAGGCAGCTTCAGGCTGCATACACACCCTGTATCTTTAGCACAGGATTTCCCCCTGGGAATTGCAGTTTACCCCTCACCAAAAGTCCTATTCCCATAACAAATTGCAGTTCCCAGGTTCTTTGGGAGGGCTGGTTCAAATGTACGGCCTGGAAAGGGAGCCATTGTGTCGTTAAGCTGCCCCAATACTCTGAGAGGAACAAAGAAACAGATGAGGGCAGCCCTCACCATAACAGGATTGTTCTAAAAAGGAAAATAACCTGAAATGTGACAGGAGGCCAGGAAGAGCGCATTTGGCTCCCTTGTTCAGAACAGCAGGTTGATGGTTCCACCTGGAAGGATCCCAGCCAGTTAGAAGTCCTGCAGTGACCCCCACACTTACATAAGCTTTCCCTTGGATACAATCTCATGCCGTCCCCATCAATTCTGGATATCCAGCCCATGCAGTTTCTTGGTAACTGTACATGTGCATCTTTATATGCAGCCTCGGCTGGCCAATCAACATGAAGCATTTTCTAGAATCTCAGAACAGGTTTTTTTATTTTTATTTTGGGGGATGGGCAGATGCCTAACTCACAATTGCACCCAGACCTGAATATTCCGATTGCTAATCTCTTCTTTTCTAAACCCTCAATTTATTAGACAGTTCAGGCTACATGTCAGCTTCACACTTGATGAGAAGCAAACCCTTGTTTTCAAAGGTGTGTGTATCTAGCAGAGAGCCTCACCTGCACCAGTCTTGAGCTGCTGTTTTCTGTTTGTGTCACACATAAAGTGAATTATTATTATTATTCACTTTTTCCAGCAACAACAGAAGGAACTCAGGAGTAACTTACAAAAACAAGCATATGTTCAACTATTGTAAACCACTCTGATTTATTTTTTATGAATAGGTAAAGGTAAAGGGACCCCTGACCGTTAGGTCCAGTCGTGACCGACTCTGGGGTTGCGGCGCTCATCTCGCTTTATTGGCCAAGGGAGCCGGCGTACAGCTTCCGGGTCATGTGGCCAGCATGACTAAGCCGCTTCTGGCGAACAAGAGCAGCGCACGGAAACGCTGTTTACCTTCCCACCAGAGCAGTACCTATTTATTTGCACTGGCGTGTTTTTGAACTGCTAGGTTGGCAGGAGCAATGGGAGCTCACCCCATCACGGGGATTCGAACCGTCAACCTTCTGATCGGCAAGTCCTAGGCTCTGTGGTTTAACCCACAGCTCCACCCACATCCCTATTTTATGAATAGTGGTACATAAATATTTTTCTATATGATTTCATTAAAAACAGGGGTAAAAACAACTTAATGCTCACAATAACATGCATAAAAGAGCATCTCAACCCCACCCTAGTACAAAATATGCAGAAAATTAAGATCCAAAGGTTTGGGTGGATAAAAATGTTTTTCCTGGTACCAAAAAAGAGATAGGGAAATATGCCAGGTATGTTTCCTTCGGGAGATAATTCCACAAATGGGGAGTCACCACAGAGAGAATCCATTCCCTGTTGCTGCCCTTTGCACCTTACTCAAGGAGACCATACAGAGAAGGGCCCTAGACTGCATAAGTGAGCATTGCATCTTGGGCTGCCTTTTCTGAACCGCAGACATGCATGTATGGCGGCTTCATGGCTGAGTGTTGGTTTCGAACCTTGGCTGTATCATAGTCAGAGTCCGGCAGTCTAATGGCTCTTTGCTTTCCTTCCCAGGCTGAGGAGCTTCTCTGTGTCCTCTTTGACTCTCTGACTTCTGATAGCAGCTACCAGATTGAAATCCAGGATCCCTAGCCAAGGGCCACCTGGACATCTGCTTGGATCCTGCTCTGTCTTGGGGGAACAAGGCAAAGTCAAACCCCCGAAAGAAGAAAGTACAAGGCACCCACAGTTTCAATAATAAAGTATATTCTTTGTCACATGTCTCAGGTCTGGGGGGGGGGAATTGATATTGGTGCGTGCGCCCCACTTTCCAAGCAGTGAGAGGCGTCAGGGATGCCAGTGCTTATGCTACGTCTGGTTACCTTGGAATGGAGGTCACTGGAGACCACGGTGTCTTTGAGATGCATGGCTTTATTTACATAGATATACAAGCTGAATGTAAGAGGGAAGAGCTCACTGTGTTACCCCCTCCCCTCCACACAACAGGTTCTTGCTGCTCTGTTAAGTTTCCAGGGAGCTGCACCCTCCCACCCTCAAATCATCATTTTGGCTTCAGCACACAGAGTTAGTCAAGTCTCTGTGTCTTCCCAGCTCCAAATGTGATTACCCCAGACCTAGTGTTCTCCTACCTCCTAGGATAAAGTGGTGTCCAGAGAGGTGAGAAAGAGAAGCCTACAACTCCCTTCTAGAGGCATCACTATCTAGTTGTTCCTATGGCAACACATGCACACTGGACCAACTCTTTAGACATCTAAAAAGAGTCCTTAACTAGCTTGGCTAGAGCCATTAATTTCGCAAAGGGACTAGTTTGATCGCTTCAGCAGTTCCTTATACTAGGGACTCTCATCTTACAGATACACAAGCTTGGAGGGGACCTGAATACATCATCCAAACCAGCCCCCCAGTTCTGTAACACCAGGCATCCCCAACCTGTGGTCCTCCAGATGTTTTGGCCTACAACTCCCATGATCCCTAGCTAACAGGACCAGTGGTCAGGGATGATGGGAATTGTAGTCCAAAACATCTGGAGGGCCGAAGGTTGGGGGTGCCTGTGTAACACTATATTCATTTGCTTGTTTGTTTAATATTTTTCTAGCCTGCCTTTTAGAGCCCTCACAAGGCAACTGGCATTGAAAGTGGTAAAAACAAAGGAATTTACAAATCACAAATGGCTTCAGATAAAATACAAGGCGGGATGGGGGGGGAGAGAGAGAGGAGAACAAGAAAGTCATTGTATGTCCGCAATTTACATGCTGATTCATTCACATTATAATTGCATATGCCACTTGTTAGCTTGATATTGAGACACTGCTATCCTCAGCCGTCACTGCCTTCCATTCAGCTCAAGCAAATACTCAGATGGAATTTGGGATGGGATACCTGCTGATGAGAAAAGCAGGCCCAGCCTGCTGCTATGCCTTTAGTAGCCACTAAACCTGCAGAAATCAGCAGGTGGAGCTCATCACAGCATGGAGGCAGGCATTATTACCAGCGAATATCTACAGAACAATCTGTGGTTAAAGGCACAGGAGCAGAATCCGGCAACCTTCAGTCTGCTGGGGCCGCTAAGAATGCAGAGATGAGGCAGAGAGAGGAACACCAGGGAATGCCACAGATACTGGTGCCATCGTGGCTAATTGGAAGGAGTCACGAGCTTGGCTGCTTTGTACTGTTGGTGAGCTTATCATTGGAGAGGAAGGGAAAAAATAGCCTAACTTGCTCCTTTTCCTGCAATGAAGGTGTGGCCTCCACGTATAACTTTGCCATGGAAAACAAAACATTCCCACCAGCAAGGCAAGATCTTGTTACAGGGGCAGACTTTGGTGATATGGCACCCAGAATTTGACGCCCTCACCCCACTTTCTCCAAGGTGGAGAAAGCTTGCCGGGCTTTGAAAAGGTGTCCTCCTTGGCTGCGCAACGAGTGCAGGCGAACCGGTGGCACTGCCCTAAAACCACCTCTGCTTGTTAAAGGGGCAGAGTGACAGAGGCCAGTTCATAAGTTGGCAGTCCTACCCTGTTGGACCAGGTGTGGGGAACCTTTGGCCCTCCACATTTTATTTGTCTATTTAACAAAATTTAAATATCGCTTGGTTGTAATAAAACCTCTACCCTGTGTACAGGAAGTAGTTCAGCAACATTTTTTTTAAAAAAAATTACAACTCCCATCACCTGTGGCCATTAGCAATGCAACTGCCCACCCACATGGTAGAGTTGCCAGCACCTTCTAGCTGCCTTCTACCACATCAGACCATTGGTGTACCTGTGGCAGTATTGTCTGCACTGACTGGTAGCAGCTCTCCAGGGTTTTGGACACAGGTCTTTCTAAACCAGGGTTTCCCAACCTTTGGTCGCCAGCTATTTTTGGACTACAAATCCCATCATCCCTGACCACTGGCCCTGCTAGCTAGGGATGATGGGAGTTGTAGTCCCAAAACAGCTGGAGACCCATGGTTGGAAACTGTCAGCCTTTCTTAACCTGTGGGTCCCCAGATGTTGTTGAACTACAACTCCCATCACCCCTAGCTAGCAAGGCCAGAGCTCAGGGATGATGGGAGTTGTAGTCCAACCACATCTGGGGACCCACAGGTTGAGAATCGCTCTGTGGAGATGTTGGCAATTGAACCTGAGCCTGCCACTGAGCTACAGCCCTTCCTTGCCCCCCCCCTTGAATTGCCTTTCACAGCAGCTACAGGTAGAGAGACATTAGCAGGTGATCACGCTTCTCTCCCTGCAATCAAAACCCTACTGTGGCTGATTCTTTTGAAAAACAGCATGTTGTTGAAGGCACAGCTACAATAACTGCTTGGAAAGTTGGCAGTCCTGCTGCAGTATGGACCTGCAGTGATATAGTAGGCATTGGTTTGCACTGGTGTTAAAAGCCCAGAACCGTTCCTGGTGAAAACAAATCCTTGGGAGTGGTGGAAAATAGTTATGTGTGCTTTTGCCCTGAAGATGCATTTATAAATGTTATGTGCCTTTGGAGCTGAGGGAGGAATGTAAATGTTGAGCCTTAGCTAAGAGGAGTTTTCCCAAATCTTTGTTTTTCTTTAAAAGCAAAAAAAAGAAAAGAGGGGGCACCTGGATTTGAACCAGGGACCTCTTGATCTGCAGTCAAATGCTCTACCACTGAGCTATACCCCCACTGGCTGGAAAAGCATCCTCTATAATAACACTTAACAGATCATGCTTCTGCTGTTTGCTTCTATCCCTCTGACAGGTTTACTCTGTGCTGCACTCCTTGCTCAGAGTACCTATAATTATATTTCATTATCCTTAATTGTTTAATGGCTGTGTTTTCAGGACCAGTTCCATCTCTGTGCCATTACCCCCCTTGCCCAAAGCCTGCTAGCAGCTGCCTCCCAGGATGGGCTTAGCACATACAGTTCCCGCAGCAGCCTGGAGCTGTTGGCACTCGAGAAGCCAGTGTCTGAGGACACAGCCCTGTTGATTAAGAGGGCAGAGCTCAGCTCACATGGCCCAGATATCGTTGCGAAGCCAAAGTGCAGCCCTGACAGCAATCCAGAGTGACGCTGAAGGTTGGCCCAGAAAGCCCCACAAATGAAACAAGACAATGTGCACTGCCCTAACATGCCTGGCAGAGGTGACTGGTGGCTGCAGGAGCCTATAGGATGGAAGGCAGGGAGCCCAACATTAGGGTGAACCAGAGGCAATGGCAGCTGCAGCCACCTAATGCTAGGTTTGTCCCCATTCTGCCTCCTCCCTGCTCAGCTCTACAAGAGGAAGCTGGGGGCCAGGGCCGCCACCTCCTGGACTGGTTGTAAGTCAGGAAGCAGGCATGTGTGGGCTGTCTGAGGACAGACTGAGTCTGGCGGGCCAGTGTCCCATAATGGACTAGCCTCCACTGATTCCAGGGCAATGCAGCACAACACAGTTTCCAGGAACTGTTCTGCCCTGGGCATGTGGGACCTGGGAAGTAGGGCAGATGCCTCCAGGTAGAACCAGCCCCCAGGTTCAATCCCCAGCATCTCCAGGCAGGGCTGGCCAAGAGCTGCTGCCAACCAGTGTGTAGACAGTGCTGATCTACATGGGCCAATGGTCCTTCCTCCCATGGGGGGAGGGGCAGCCAAAATTGTTGAGACTTTTCTAGCAGATACACCAAAGTTCTTGAGCTTTTTTAAGGAGATCACCCCCTAAAGTTGAGCTTTTCTGGGGAGCAGGGATGGCTCCAGATGGTGCCAAGGCTGAGCATTTGCTAGGTTACCTAAAAAGCTGAGAGCCCACGGCCCTAACATGGTGCCATTTGCACAATGCACAAGCCTTGATGTTTGCATGTCCCACCACGTCCTGGAAAGGGTCCTGGCTCCCCCAAGTCCTGGAACTGAGAGCATTCCTGTGTGCTTTTCAGCAACCCTCTCTCCTCCTCCTCTGTCTTTGTAAGAAAGAATAGTTCTGATTGATCAGGCCAATGGCCCACCTAGTCCAGCATCCTGCCAGGGGAACCCACAAGCAGGACCCAAACACAAAGGCACTCTCCCTGTGATGGCCTGGGACTCGGAACCAGAGGAGACTCAGTCTGCACCGGATTCTTTGCCTCAGGCATCACCTGAACCAAGTCCGGGGCCTGATCCTGAAGAGTCCCAGTCTGCACAGGTTCCCCTGCAACAAACCCCAGCTGGGCCAAGTCAGGGGCCTGAGCTTGCCCTGACTCCAGATTCAGGGATTACCTCGTTGCCTCCAGCTGGGCCATCACTTACAGCTGCTCCACTTACTGGTTTGGTCAGGGGAGGCTGTGGTGGCCTCTGGGTCTAGTAACCCACCAACATCTACCGAGCTGCAGAGACTAAGGTCTGAGAGAAGGAGAGACCTGAGTACTTGCAGGAGGAGTGCTCGCCTTTGGGCGAAACAGGGAGGTGAGTCGCTGGGGAATCAGGACCAGCTGCTACCCTGACAAAGATAAAAGGCTGTTGGACCCTTACCCCCAGGCCCAGCACACTCCCTTCCTGCAACTTCCAGTGGAGGCGGCGGATAGCCATTGTGGCTAGTAGCCATCAATAACCTTATCCTCTGTGAATGTGTCCAATCCTCTTTTAAAGCCATCCAAGTTAGTGGCCATCACTGCCTCCTTTGGAGGGACTTTCTTCCCCCCCCCGACTCTTCCCACATTCAGCTTCGTTTGATGTCCACAAGTTCTAGTGTTTAGAAAAAACTTCTCTATCCACTTTCTCCGTGCTGTATATAATTTCATAAACGTCTGCCATGTCACTTACTCACTCGCCTTTTCTCTAAATGAAAGAAG